TAACCACACCATAACCCCCCATACCTCCCCATAATACCCCATACCCCCCCATAGCCCCCATAACAACCCCCCAGCCCCCCCACAGCGCCCCCTAGCGCCGCACCTCCTCGCTGACGTTGCAGAAGGCGTTGGCGTAAGCCCCGCCCCCGACGGTCCCCTCCAATAGGACGAGGGCGAGGGCGGGGCCAAAGGAAGGCAGCCAATGGGAGACCACGGCCCACAGCAGGGTCCCTGCGGTCAGCCCCTGTGGGGAGGTGGGGGGCGGTTATGGGGCACGATGGGGGCACTATGGGTCTCTATGGGTCCCTATGGGGTCCATATGGGTCCCTATGGGGTCCCTATGGGGTCTCTATGGGTCTCTATGGGGTCCATATGGGACTCTATGGGGTTTCTATGGGGGCCCTATGGGTCTCTATGGGGTCCCTATGGGGTCTCTATGGGTCTCTATGGGGTTCCTATGGTCTCTATGGGTCCCTATGGGGTTCCTATGGGGCCTCTATGGGTCTCTATGGGTCCCTATGGGTCTCTATGGGGTCCATATGGGTCTCTATGGGTCTCTATGAGGTCCATATGGGTCTCTATGGGGTCCATATGGGTCTCTATGGGTCTCTATGGGGTCCATATGGGTCTCTATGGGGTCTCTATGGGTCCCTATGGGGTCTCTATGGGTCTCTATGGGGTCCATATGGGTCTCTATGGGTCCCTATGGGGTCTCTATGGGTCCCTATGGGGTCTCTATGGGGTCCATATGGGGCAGTTTTGAGGTATCTTAGAGCTGTTATAGGGTATCTATGGGGCAGCTATGGGGCAGCTATGGGGCAGTTATGATATCTCTATGGGGCAGCCATGGGGCAGCTATGGGGCAGCTATGGGGCAGCTATGGGGTCTCTATGGGGCAGCCATGGTGTCTGTATGGGGCAGCTATGGGGTCCCTATGGGGTGGATATGGGGCGGCTATGGGGCGGCTATGGGGCGGCCGTGGCTGTGGGGCAGACCTGCAGCAGCGCCAGCACCCAGATGCGCCGGAAGCGGCAGCAGCGCAGCGACGACCGGGAAACGAAGACGGAGCTCTGGTAGGCCAGCTGGAACCTGCGGGCAGCCCCACGGCGCCCCATAGCGCCCCATAGCGCCCCACAGCGCCCCATCAGTGCCCCATAGCATCCCATCAGTGCCCCATAGCGCCCCATAGCGCCCCACAGCGCCCCACAGCGCCCCATCAGTGCCCCACGGCGCCCCATAGCGCCCCATAGCAT